GAGGACACGATTCGCGAGCCCTTGAATTACACGATTCGGCAGGACTTTGAGGAATCAAGCGAAGTTCACTACGGACGCGGTGCTACAGAGAGCCTGGTTGGATCAACGAGTGTGAGTGAGATTGAAGAGATCTGTGGCAGCGGCGTCTTCGAACTTAAGGTTCTCCTCGGCTGCTACTACCAGATTCTCCTCGGCCTCTATTACCAGTTTCCCTTCGGCTTCTACTACCAGTTTCTCCTCGGCGTCTACTACGAGACATCTGGCTGGGCAGAGGCCGGAGAAATGGCTGATTCTAGTCATGGTCCCGGGGCAGGCGGCATACCCTTGCACGAGTTCAGAAGAGAAGTGCCACCGGGGTGGAGTCCGAATCTTCCGGACTACCCGCTTCGCTTGTTCTTCGAGAGATTGAAACTTTGGTACAGGATTTACGATGGAGCGGACGAGCTTGTGGGTCCCTTGGTGGCAGGAAGGTTGCAGGGGAAGGCCCAACGCCTAAGCATGCAACTCAGGTTGCAGCGACCGGACGGAACATATGATGTGGGGTCTGATGCGCTAGTCAGACTTAGCGTAGAAGAAGTACGTGATCCCATGGACCCGAGCATAATCTTGCAACGGGCGATACCCTCGGGAGTTCAGGCCCTCTGCAATGCTCTTCGGGACACCTTCGGCATGAGTGATCAGGAGATGGTTTCCAAGGCCATCGAAGAGTTCTTTGAATTCCGCAGGGGCAAGCTTTCTCTGGCCGAGTACAGCATCGAGTTTGACGCCAGGCTTGAGGAGGCAGTAACTCGGGCAGGGCTGGAGTTGAACGATGTGGGTCGCTTCTACATGTTCTTCAGAGGATCTGGGCTTTCGAACAAGTTCGTGGATGACATCAAGCTGCAGATCCAAGGCGACCTGAGGAGGTTTCAAGAAGCCCGAGCCCTGGCCTTGAGACTGGTGACCCGGAAAGATGACCATGGAGACAACTACTACCAGAACGAGGAAGAAGAGCCGGATGAGCCGAGCCCATCCTGGGATGACAGCTACTGGGCTGAAGATGGCTGGCAATGGATCGATGACAGCTACGACCACGGCGACCTGGGCGATTGGACCTACGACAGCTGGTATGAAATGGACGACGGATGGTACGGCGAAGGCTATGATGAGTACTATGAGCATCCGGACTTCCATGGCGAGACGGCAGAGGAGGATGGCATCGCAGCTGAGATCAGGTCCGAGACTCCTGCTTCTGGATCTGAAAGCTATCCCACCAAGGGTGGCAAAGGTGGCTTCAGTTGTGCTGTTTGCGGTTCACGATGGCACAGCACTTCGTCGTGCCCAGTCGGCAAGGGCAAAGGCAAAGGCGGGAGCCCGAAAGGCTCCTCCAAGGGCTACGGCAGAAGCTTTGGCAAGGGGAAGAAGGGTTTCGGAAAGTCGAGAGGGAAAGGAAAAGGCAAGTGGGTGCCACGCTTCAAAGGTTATGGAAAGGGCAAAGCCAAGGGATACCATGGCTATGCCGAGAAGACGCTGATCCATAGCTTCAATGAGAACATGACCTCTCGAAGCCCTTCGACGCCCAAGCCAAGGACAGTGCACTTCCGTCTGGACCACGACGACGGCACTCCCGTTTTGGATTTGGGTCGATCCCGGCCTGAACCCGAGACAGCCGAGAATGAGACAGGCCAGGCGCCCGAGAAGCGCTTGGACTTCACCTTTGCTACGAATGTTTACAGCAGCGGTGCCACATTCCACACAGTTCGTGGTGAGAAGAGGCGTGGACTGCTGGTGGACCCAGGAGCTGCTTCAGGTTTGGTTGGAAGTGAGACCTTGCGGGATCTCATGGAGTGCTGCATCGACGACAACAACAGAGATCAAGTTCGTTGGTGCCATGATCGCTCGAACAGTGTCAGCGGCATCTCCGGGATGCCAGAGGCTACTCTGGGTGAGATTCACCTACCGGTTTCGTTGGCCGGTGTGAAAGGGTTGTTCTCAGCTGATGTTCTTGGAGGTGAAGGTTCCCTGTGTCCAGCTCTTCTGTCGAACCCGGCTCTGAGGAAGCGTCGCGCATCCATATTGTGCGACTACTTTGCGAATGGTGATGGAGTACTTGTGGTGCCGGCGGACGACAGCAGCTGGAGTGAAGGAAAGGGCAGCTGGCACTATATGCGCATGCTGCTGACGGACTCAGGTCATTACCTTTTGCCTGTGGATGACCGGAGGACCGTGTCGATGCAGACCCAGAAGGACGTGGAGCAGCACATGTTCACATGGGCAAGCGAGACGAAGGACATCTGGAATGACGTTCGGCACTGCTTTCTTCAGCGGAAGGTCGAACACAAGTGTCGGGAACGTGAGCGGTGTTTCAATGAGAGTTGCGAGGCCGGCCAAGAGACAGACTCAAATCCAAAGACCACTTCATCCACTACCTCCGGTACTACCTCTCCGGCCTCGACAATGACCACGATGACAGACAAGATGAGTTCAGAGAACACGCCAAGCACTTTGCTTTTAGAAGATAGTTTTGTGACAGGCTCAAATCCAGAGACCACTTCATCCACTACCTCTGGTATTTTTATGAAAGATGTGCACACACAGTCTGGGGTCCTTTGTGAAGATGATGTGCACACACAGTCTGGGGTCCTGGTACATGCTGAGAAGCCGTTTCTAGACGCACCGTCCTCTCCTCCAAGACCTTTGCCACGGATTGACAGTTGGTCCTTGGAAGGCAACAATTTGGTGCGCTACCACAGCGTTCCGCGTCGCATGCTGTTCACACCACACTGCGCGAGGGACTGTCCAGTACAGAAAGAGATGTTTTCGGGCTGCCGCACCACCTATCTTCAATTGGTGCCCAGAAAGCTTGGGGAACGAGTTCTTCAAGACGACTGGCAGAAGTCGACAGTTCCCAACAAGGACATGGAACAGCTGTGGACTGGCAGGACGGTGTTCAAGCTGCGTCAGACTCAACAGCTCATGCCTACGACGACTTCAGCTACTACCACTGATGAGAAAGATGCATTGGACCCGGTTGAATTTCCCAATTACTCCGGGGATGTGTTTCCAGAACACTGGACAGAGGTGCGAAAAACAGAGATGCACAAGAAATACCGTGCCATGCCCGAGGAGTTCTATACGAAGTCTGGCCGGAAGCCCATCACTCCAAAGAACGTACATAGCTGGTTGCTCAAGGCTTCAGGCCGAGGACTTCGCTGGCAGTTTTGGGAATGGTGTTCGGGCAGCGGCAGACTCAGCTTGATGATGATGATGGCTTCCATGACGGTTGGTTTTCCAGTGGACTACAGATATGGCTGGGACCTGGCATACCCGGCACATCAGTCGGTTCTACGCCAGTGCCATGCTGAGTTTTGCCCAGCACACCTCTTCGCGGCTCCTACATGCACCCCTTGGTCAGTGGCATCTTCTTCGAAGCCACCGGACATACGAGCCAAGGAACGTCAACAAGAACTTCCCACGCTGGAGTTCCTGTACGAGGCCACGCTGTACCAGCACAACCAGAATCTTGGGTTCTCGGTGGAACAGCCTTCCGGATCCGCTATGCTGGTGGATAGCCCTCTAGTTCGGCTACGTGACCTCGGAGGAGTTCGGATTTGGCGAACGGACCAGTGCATGCTGGGAGCTCAATGTGATCAAGGGCATCCCATACGGAAGCCCACGTCTTTGCTGAGCAATCGCAAATGGAAGATGGTCATCAAACGCTGTGACAACCATCGCGGCGCTCCTCATGGGGTGTTGCAAGGGCAGCTGCGTGGAATCAACCGGACAGCTATGGCTGCAGTTTACCCCAAGAGACTGTGCCTCTTGTATGGTCAAGATTTGTGGGCTACGTTGCGCAAGGATGACCGGAAGTCTTGCAAGCCGTGGCCACACAAGCTGCTCTGGGTCAATGATCTCTACTACTCGTGTGAGAAATGCCAATTGGGCAGGGCAGCCCCTCCTGGCTGCGAGCATACCATGACTCCCGGTCAATGTCGCTACGGTCAACCGGGAATGCGCCGAGCTCGAGCTAAAGCTCAACATGCGCCGCCCACCGAACCACATGCACCACAATCGTCTTCACCACAACCGCCTGCGACATCTACGGCAGAACCCTTGGTTGCTTCACCTGCCGCTGGCACAGCCAAGGCTATGTCTCCAAAGCCTGATGACTTGGAATCCCTCACTGGACCTTTCAAATTTCTTGCTCGCAACGGCGACTACTCCAAGGTCAAGCTGGGAAGCGATGCAGCCATGCCGCTCAATGCTGAGCAGAAATTGTTCCTCAAGGCGGCACTGCTTCAAATGCTTCGCACATGCATCGACCTCTTCCAGGCGAACACTAGCGTCGACTATGACCACTGGCTGGAGGACCCAGTCTTGCTGCAAGTGTTCCAGGAGATCTTTGCAGATCATTTTTCGGTCTTGGGTGTGATGT